GCTCGCCAGCGCCTGGGGGCGGCGCGGGGCGTCCCGCAGAGGCTGCCCGGCGGCGGCAGAGCGCAGGAACAGCTGGGAGAGGCAGGACTGGTCTGTGGGAGCTGTGTCTGGTGTGGATGCTGACCTACCCATCTGCTTAGATTTCTGTGGACACAGAGGTGGTTGTATCTAGTAGACTGTTAGCTTCACGGGAAAGAAATTGAGTAGAAATTTAAGATCTCTGTTTCAATATTTTTTAAGAAAACATTTTAAAATGAGGTAAAAACCCCTAAATAACCCCTTTCTTTGAAAGTGTAAGGTAGCTAAAATAATAAGTGCAACAGCCCTAAAACTGTATGCATACAATAATAGTAGTTCAGGAGAACCGACACGGGTTTTTCGGGTGTGATTGCCAAAAAGTAGGGATGGCTTCAGCGCAGTCATTTGAAAAAGCTGCTACTCAAACATTGAAGCTCTTCTGATGACTTGCTAGCTCTCCTTCTGTTTGTGCTTCCTTGGCAGCTCCTTGCTGTGTCTGGGTCCAGAGCAGAAAGGCTGCAATACCCTGTGGAAAGACTGTTCGTATTAAATTCCTAGTGCAATCAGAAACCAGACACAGCAGACCTTTTGGTGACAATCCACTGAATTTTGGCATGCTTTTTTGAACTGAAATGGCGAATTTGTTACATTTTAATAATCTTTGCTTTGAATTTCAGTAGAAAGGGCTTCCTCTTCTGTTTTCAGAGGTGCCAGTGAAATATTCTCCTGACAGTCATTTGATATTCATCCACTGGTATAAATCCTAACGATTTAGGAAAAAATACAGGGAAAGTCACACTTGCGTGTACCTGTCAGTGAAAGCTGGGGGAGGAGGAGGAGGGAAGGCCCACCTCGTCACTGAGTCGGAGGGCTGGCTGTCAGGAGAACTTGGACTCGGGTCCCTGCCTGCCCAGCTCCGAACAATGTACTTTCCCTCTCTTTGTCTCAGTTTCCATGTTTACAAAATGGTGCTAACAGCAGTTCTCCGGTGGAAGAAGTGTGTTAATTCACTGAGAAGTAGCATTTATTCCTATGTTGAAAGAGGCATCAGATAATAAAAAGTTACAGTGTTTTGATATGTAGAAAAGTTTGGGTGGGATTTTTTTCTTACTTTGCCCTGTTCCTTCCACACCAGCAAAGTCTGCAGGTGAAAGAGGTCATAAAAATTCACATTTTGAAAGGTTGGTATTTACAGGTCGTTAAAGGAAACGCTGATGTAGCGTTAACTTAGCATTGCCAGGGTGGCTTACTAATGTAACGAATACAAGATCTCACCCCGCCACTGGCTGAACGGAGGGCTGGCTGGCAAATTATTTATAGAACATCCCTATGGAGTGGTTACTTACTACTAATGGCATTAAAGAAAGGGTACGTTTGGTTAAATGAGGCAAAGTTCCTCTCCCTTCAGCCCTCAGTGCTTCCTGCCATGCCAGGACTACAGGGAAGGCAGACTAGCTGGTATAAACAGGTATTGTCATTGAAGCGCCTGATTACTGAAAATTCCCAAAAACCGTTTTAGCAGGAGTAGCACATCCCCTCGGATTTCTGTAGCATCGCTTGTTGAGAGGTTCCCCAGGAAGGGGGAGTATGGGAAGGCAAAGGCGGTGTTATTTCTGTTATTTCTGGGGTGGCAGCCGCTCTGCGCCTGGCCCGTGCCAGCATCGCTTTCTGTCAGCTGCTCCTGGGGTCCCCCAGCCCACTCCCCCTCGGTCAGCATTCCCAGGGCTGCCTCTGCCTCTTGTGGGCACGGCCAGGATCCCAGCCCGGCGGGGCTGAGCCCTGTACAACCAGTTAAAGAGGGAGATGGCTTCTCCCGCGTTCTTGCAAGGCGAAGAGACCAGATGCGCCCCCTTGGCCTGGGTTTATACGGGGGGAGCTGAAGCCCAGAGAAACCGAACGGCGTGTGGGAAGTAATGGAAGGGCCTCAGCCCGAGAGCCGTGGGGGTGGGCTCCCGGAGAGCCAGTCCAGCGCGCGGCTGTACCTGCTTTGGCCCTCCCCTGGGGGGGGAACAGGTCCCAGGGGCAGGGTGGAAGGGGTGGGGGGCGCTGCCGAAGCTCCGCGCGAGTTCCTGCCATTTCCCGTTAATTTCATATCGCTTTTGTTGTTGGTTTCTGTTGACGCTTTAGGTGAGGTCTGTCACAAGTCCTACACGCAGTTCTCCAACCTCTGCCGCCACAAGCGGATGCACGCGGACTGTCGCACGCAGATCAAATGCAAGGACTGCGGCCAGATGTTCAGCACTACCTCCTCCCTCAACAAACACCGGCGCTTCTGCGAGGGCAAGAACCATTACAACCCAGGGGGGATTTTTGCCCCTGGCCTACCCCTAACGCCCACTTCCATGATGGACAAATCCAAGCCCTCTCCCAACCTCAATCATGCCAGCCTGGGATTTAATGATTACTTTCCGTCCCGCCCGCACCCAGGGGGTCTTCCATTCTCACCTGCCCCCCCAGCGTTTCCTGCCCTCACTCCAGGTTTCCCAGGGATTTTCCCACCTTCTCTATACCCCAGGCCCCCCTTGTTACCACCCACACAACTGCTCAAAAGTCCCCTCAACCACACTCAAGATGCAAAGCTTCCAAGCCCCCTTGGGAACCCAGCACTTCCTCTGATCTCTGCAGTGAGCAACAGCAACCAGGCCACTTCAGGAGAGGAGAAATGTGAAAGCAGCCTGGAAAACTCCTACCTGGAGAAGCTAAAAGCCAGGAACAGTGACATGTCTGATGGCAGTGACTTTGAGGATGTCAATACAACCACAGGCACGGATCTGGACACCACTACTGGCACCGGCTCTGACCTGGACAGTGACGCAGAGAGTGACAGGGACAAAACAAAAGATAAGAGCAAACAAATGGAGAGCAAGCCAGATTTTGTCAGCAGCTCTGTGTCTGCAAGTTCTACCAACAACACAAGTGAGATCCCTCTCTTCTATTCTCAGCATTCCTTCTTCCCTCCCCCCGAAGAGCACCTGCTGCCTACCACGGGAGCAGCTAATGACTCTATTAAAGCTATCGCCTCCATTGCCGAGAAGTATTTTGGGCCTGGCTTTATGGGGATGCAGGAGAAAAAGATGGGTTCGCTCCCGTATCATTCCATGTTCCCTTTTCAGTTCCTCCCCAATTTCCCCCATTCACTCTATCCTTTCACGGAGCGGACCCTCAATCACAACTTGCTGGTCAAGGCAGAACCAAAGTCACCCAGGGACCTCCACAAAGTAGGCAGCACCAGCTCGGAGTCGCCCTTCGATCTCACCACAAAGCCAAAAGAGATTAAGCCAATCTTGCCGCCGCCTAAGGTCCTGCCCGCCCCACCCTCAGGGGAAGAACAGCCACTGGATCTGAGCATTGGCAACCGCATCCGAGCCAGCCAGAACGGAGGAAGAGAGCCACGGAAAAACCACGTTTATGGGGAAAGGAAGCTAATGGCAAGTGAAGTCTTACCCAAGATTTCCCAGTCTCAACTGCCTCAGCAGCCATCCCTGCATTATGCTAAGCCATCACCCTTTTTCATGGACCCCATATACAGGTATTAACATACCCTGCCTTAAGCGTTTCCTCTAACGAGCTAATTTTCTAGCTGACATTGCGACTTGAGGCAGGTCGGGATGTAGGTTGTTTAGAAAGAGCAGTGCAAGTCTGCTGCAGTTGATTGTTCTCCTGTGTGCTTTGTCTCAGCACGTTGAATTTTCTGAATCAAAAGGGCTGAATAATTGAAAGGAGTACTCGTAATCAATATGCATAAAGAGCACATCCTTATTTTGATAAAGAAGAAACTTGACCTATTTAAGGACTCTCCCACGAGCCAACACTAAGATGGCACTTCTGCTGGGGAAATTCCAGAGGTTTGATTCGATAAGAATGCAGAGTTCAGATGCCTCGGAGCCCGGGCTCTCATGGCTTGGGAATGAGTCAGGAGCCCTGGGAGCCTGGAAATGCAGCTCTCCCACTGACTGACTTGATGGCCTTTTGTGAGCCACTTCACCTTTCTTCCTCCCCACCCCCCTTTTTCTTTCTAATTCCTTTCCTTGGAGTTTTTTTCAGTTCATAGGAACTGCTGTTGTGGACCCAGTCTTTTGAAACACTTTTAAGTCAGGAGTAACAAGCACCGCGTAAATACATGGTAGTGTGGTATTATCTGGGTCTCTCCTAGATATGTTTCTTTCAGACTTATCTTTCTTAGGAGATAACAAGGGTTTTCTAGTTTCACTTTGAAACGGATGGTTTTTGAGGAAAGGTCGATTTGTTATGTCATGCCTAGAATAAGCTGAACATGGAAGGCGTGCGTAAAGCAGCCTGAGTGAAGTTATCCAAGAGCCAGTTAAACTTCCAGGAGGAGTGAACTCAGGAGATGGAAAGGCAAGACTTGAGGCTCTTGTCGTTTCAGGGCTTTGTATAAAACCTGTTTCTAAAGGAAAATGATTTTAAGCTTTACAGTGAGGGTACCGGTAAGTTTGCGTATTACCCCTCCAGGTACCGTCGCTGCCTTTGTGCTGCGGAGGAGAGGTTTTTGTCACATAGGAAATACCTTTTGCTTGTTTGTGGCAAAGCCTGGTGAACAGAGGTGTCCCGGCCTCGTTCGGTGTAGACATTAACGTGGCGAATAGTTCTCCCCTAGGACAGCGTGCTTCAGAGCATCCGTTCTGGTACGCGGGTTGGGCCCAGAGGGCTCCTGGCTTCAGCGTCTCGTTGAACAGCCAGAGCCGGGAGGTGAACGGTTGGTGGTCGAGCTCAGTGTGGACAGCGTGCCGCGGGGCCGCCCGGCGAGCCGAGCTGTGCTCCGGCCTGCCGGGGCTGTAAGGGATGGAGCTGCAGAAGCTGGTGCTGTCTTGGCGCTAGAGAGACTCGGAGTCACCGCAGAGCGAGTGGGTCAGCGCCGGGGTGGTTCGCTTGGGAGTTCCAGGGGCTGCGAACCACCAGGGGTGGCGTGGCCTTCGCTGCCGGCTGGCAGAGCGGGCCAGGAGAGCAGCACCTATGTCACTGCCGGGCTGCTATTGTGCGGTTGATAACTGTGGGAAAAAATGATGTCAATGCCCAGCCAGGCCAAAGAACTGTCAGCTGAGAGGAGGATTAGTGAGCCCTCGTCGCTTGCTATTAAGAAAGCGTCTCTCGCTTTGCCAGCGCTCGGGGTGGGTGCGGTGTGGCTTGCTTACATGCGTGCCATCTGCGATGGAAACGGCTGCATCACAGCCCGGGACATGTGATGTGTTCTGTCTGGGACCCACCGGGGTCCTCCCCTCCTGGAAAAATAAGTAATGAGGTGAATAGTCCGGCATTTGTTTTTGTAGAAAGTACTTCTGGAAAAAAAATAAGTTTAAGTGGGGTAGAAAGGCAAAAGCTTGGAGTTAGGATCCTGCCACCTCTGGGCATTCTCAGTAGGAATGTTAAAATAGCATGGGTTGAAAAAGCCGTTGCCAATTAAAATAGCAGCCTCGGGAAAACCGTAAAGGTCCAGAAGACAGATGGAAGTGAAGGATGGGGGCATCGTTTGTTGCATTCCAGGGGATGCATGTAGTTTTAGTAATCCATTAAAATAGAAAGTCAGTGGTGGAGTTGCTTGCGAATCAGACTTCTGATGTAATGAGCTAAACAGCAGAGCTTCCAAGTCCCAGCTTAAAAAATATGGAAATATTTTGTTTCTAAACTTCTCTTTATCAGACTCTCTCACATCATTTGGCTCCTTCATTTTTCTCCCAAAGGCCACTTAAATCCTTGACATTTTCTCCTGGTGATATAATTTAATGCAGCCAGACAGCCTGAAATCAGTGCGGTTTTTAGCTCAGCCTTGTTAAGGTAACGTTCTCAGGCACTGGGCTGAAAAGATCAGCCTAATCCCCTGGACACTGCGGAATTCGGCTCTGACGAGGCCGTTTGTGCGTTGGTCGTGTTCTCGTTACGCGACGCTGGGAGACGGCAGAGCTGCGTGAAGCGCCGGCGCTTTGCGGAGGTTTCGCGGGGGTGGTGCAGGTGGGGCTGTCGCTGCCGGGGCCGGCGGCGTTCCCCCGCTGCCAGCGCCTCGCCCGGGGTAGCGCCTCACCCGCCGGGGTGTCGCTCGCCGCCGGTCACCGTTTCACCTTGTCTCGGGGAGAAACTTTTTTGCGTATTGTTTTACAGATCGTTGTTTGTCTGAAAACTCGAGCCCATGAAAACACGTACCCTCCAGGGCGCGGTAGTTCTGACTGCATTTCGAATCCAGCTCTTCTCTTTGCTTCTACCTGAGTAAAATTAACTGCAGATTAAATACAGTTCGCTAGGTAGCACTCTGCGTGACTCTTCTTTTAAACTTTTTGGTGATTTGATCCTCACACCAGTCAGCTGAAATGCAGCAAAATAACGTGCTCTCATTTGTGCTGGACTAGTGTAGCTAAAATTACTCTTACTATTGGCTGGTTTAGCTGAGATGGACTCTATTCCAGTAATTTAAAAATGCAGCTGCGTTCATTGGAGTTACTTTCATGACACTTTTTTCCCACAGAGGACATTTCAGATTCTCTTTTTGGTGATTCCACATCACCGTTTCCCTGCCAGTAGAATATTTTGTGAAGGCAAAGCCAGTCTTTTCAAAAGTAGGAGCCTAACTTCAGGATTGTTTCTGCGTAGTAAGGTGCTTAAGCACTGAATATTTGAATGGACCAAAGTGACATCGGGTTCCTAAGTCACTTCAGAAATCTCCCACCAGTTCCTAACTTTTTAAATTGTCCACATATGCTTGCCAAAGAAACTCAATGCAAATTATATCTCGGCTGCAAGGGAGGAAATAAATATGAAACACCTAATGATTTCAGCACACTTAGGGCTGCAAAGTCTGGCCCAGTGTTAACTCTTAAGATAAAGACAAACTCTCAAAGACAGATTTCTTCCATGCAGTGGCTGCCTGCTGTGGACTCCAGAGCTTCCCCCACTTAAACATTGCTTTTGCTGTAAACGTTTTTTTCATGACATTTCACAACAACAAAGGCTTGTAAACCACTATAGTGGAGGCATTAGTTCTCACATAGAAAGTTGAAAATGTTGTCTTAGTCGCCAGTCTGATGGCTAAAAACATACTGCCCAAAGGAGGGGATCCGTTTTCATATCATTTCCAGTGACTTTTTCGTGCTAACTTGTGGGTCACGATTTGTAGTACCCGGTAGAAGGGGAAGAAGGACGTTTGTGTCAAGAGGAGAATGGCCAATAGCCTCAGATGTAGAATTTAAACACCTCTAGAAATGTTTGGCTGTTTCTTTGCTGCCTGTGGCCCTGTAAGGTATGTAACCCTCTGTGTTGTTGTCCAGCAGGGTGGAGAAGCGGAAGGTGACAGACCCTGTGGGTGCCCTAAAGGAGAAGTACCTGCGACCCTCCCCGCTGCTTTTTCACCCCCAGGTAAAAGCAGTGACGTTGCGGTGCGGTGTGGATTGAATGCTGGGAAGTGTGAGATGGTACAAACAGGTCACCTGGATCAGATTCTTTCTCATCCAAGGGCCCGACTGGAAACTCCACTATTTTCCACCAGTTACGCTCAGATACTTCTCATTTCATACCTGGTTTGAGGATGACGGTAGCTCTGCCTTGCTGCTGCTTGTGCATTAACAGGAGAACAGGGATGAGGTCTGGACAGCTCACGGTCTGCCAAACTCCCCTTTCACGGGCCAGAATGCCTGCATCGTTTTTCCTTTGGGAACGCCTGGTGCAGTCGTTTGCAGTAGTGCAAAGTGGGGAAGGGCTGTCCAGCACCCAAGCAGTGGCATTTCATACCTGCCTGACCTTCCCTCCCGTCCTTTGGACGACGTGAAGGCGCAGGGCAGTGGAGAGTCAGGGTTCAGCTCTGCCTGCTCCGACAGGCGACGGAGAACTTGTTCTCTCCTTCCTGCACAGCTGCTCTAGTCTCTGCTCTTCTGGCAGCTCACGGGTATTTGCTCCCTCTGCGTCTCCTGCAGGTCTGAGTCACTGCCGAGCGGCGGGAAACGCTGCTGGCCAGCGTGCGACAGCGCGCGGGGAGCGCCGGCCCGCAGTGCCGCTGGGCCGGGCCTTCACCCCGGGGCGCTGGGGAGGCCCGGCCGAGCCCAGGGCAGCCCAGATTGTTCACAAGAACCGACCCCCGTTTACCAAACCCCCTGTCTTACAGGCGATAGCCAAACTGTCCCAGAAGCGACGTTACTCGTTCCCCTGGCCCCGCGGTGATAACGCAGCGGGTTCTGCCACACGCTGCCCGACACCCTCTGCGGTGTGACAGCCGCCCGCTGTCCTCCGTCTCTCCTGCTGTGAACACATGCTGGGAGCTGAGCTCGGTGGTCATTATTGTGCTCTCCTTTATATTCACATGCATTGTTCTCCTCTGATAATGTTTCCCACCTTAGATAAATAACTCGCAGGTTCGTGAAAGCTGGATCCTGGTTGCTTTCACAGCTAAACTTAGTTCCCTCATTGTTTCGCTTCAGCCTCAGAGTTTGGTTAATAACTTCCCCCGATTTTTCCTTCATACAGGCTGGATAATGGTGACAGGCTGGCCAGGAACATCCTGTGTTTGTGTGAGTTAGAATAGTGGGGATATCTGCCTGTAAAGAATCTGATAGCAGGGAGGAGCCAGTGTGGCAAAGCAACCCAACATGACGATGAGAAACGTACAGGCCCTGAGTAGGAGCAAGCATTGGGTGGAAGGTTATTGACATTGTTCCTGAAATCCTGACCACGTCCTCTTCCCATGGCAATGAAAAATGTGGAAGGTCTGGTTATCTCTAATAGCTTATCACACAGAGTAGCCCAAAATTTACAATCACTCGAGCCCGAAACTTCCTGGTAACTGAATTTAATAAAGCGGGTTGCTGTGTAAAGATCACTTGATCTGGAGAGTTGCTGTTCCCATGCTGTGTACTAATACTACTGCTATTTTGCTGCTACCAGATCCCCAGCTGATATTACCCTGGATCTTTTCCTAAGAAATCCTGTTTTCAGGGGCTCCTGCTTCTGTCTTCTTCATGGGGACCAATGTTCATATACCAGGTCACTTAGAGGCACGCTCTGCATGGGTTTCTCTCACTCTAAATGTGAGTCTGGTCTCAGCCTTCTGAATAATTCCGCAGCTCGTAGAGAGCCCTGGGTGGGATGTGATTAAGCTGAAAGATGTGGTAAAGACTGAGCATTCAGAAGATGCTTTCGCTCTCAGAATGAATTTAGGGCAACTTTTATGTCTTAGCCAGTCTTTGACAGTAGCTTCTCTGCTCAGATGGGAGTTACTCTTCCATTGTCTATTTAGATTAAACTCTGGACAACATAAATAAATGGTGTAACTTTTTGATAACTTAATAGAAAACCTTTTCTCACCTGTTAAGTTTCTTTTCTTCTCCCCTTCTTTTTTATTATAACCAGGCAGTTGTTCCCTAAATAGCAAAGTGCCTTTACCACTGGAGAGGCTATGGCCAGTGTTTAGAATTTTAAAATAAGCCTACGGCTATCAAGCCAGCAAACATCTCTGACTAAGTGCCTAAAGAACAGGGCACAACAAAAGCTATCTCCAGGTACTCCAGCAAAGGGCTGAGTGGCATAGCTCTGAAAGATCCGGATAGCATTTTAACATGATGGTTTTGTTACATGACTGGCAGCTGGGGCAGAGCTTTTGCTGTAAATGATCAAGTAACCTTTTCAAGTGGCTGGCGCTAAGTATTACTTACTATTTATCATGGGCTGGGAGCCTCCAACTAAGGGGCTGTGGATCTATTATCGGGAAATGGGTTTTACTACTCCTCTTTTTTACAGCTTATGAATGGTTGTCAGCCTTCCACAATGTATTCTTTGGTGATTAAGACAACTTTTTTTTATAGTCATACATTTTAAACAATATCTTGGCTTTCTTTCCTCCCCCCGAGCCCAGTTTAATAAAGTGTAAACGTGCAAAAGGTCAGCCCTTCCTGTACAATAGAGCATCTAGTTTTGATATATGGCTTCCTACTGCCTTCCGCTCGCTCGCTGTCCCCCCAGCTCACGGGCCGACTCTCCATTCAGGCTCCCACTCCCCCCAGTGCTCCCTTCTTTCCTGGTGATGTCATCTGCAGTGAGGAGGCAGCTTTATTGCTGCCTTGTTTGTTTTATCCATGTTTTCTGCTTGGTATCTTGAAAGTGCTCTCAAGAGTGCATAAAATTGAACTTGGGAGATGTCGGCGTAGTCCTCCGAGGTGCATTTCTCTCCTGGATTCGGATTTCCTGTTTTGCTCTAATGAAAGTAAAAGTGGGTTTCTTTAGGTAGGATTTTTATGCGTATCCAGTTTTTTGCACACAGGCCGACTTCTTTCTTCCCTTTTTTGCTTTCCCCTTCTCCTGTTTCTCCAGGTTTTTCCCTTTCTCCCTCTTTCTGGCCTGGTATTTAAACCTGCATTTACGTGAGAACACGGCCGTTGCCGAGCTGTACAAACTGAAGCCGACAGAGGCACCCAGAAGTGCTTTATTCAGCCTCACAGCTCTAGGCCTGTGTGCCCGCCACCCCCATCCCAAGGGGCTTCCAGTGTGTAGGTTGTGATCTTCCTAACCATAACTCATCCCGACACAGCTCATGGAGAGTATTTTGGCTGGAATTCCCTTTCGCCCCAGGAAGCTCAGCCATCTCCCACCCATCCTTCCATCACCTTTATTGGCTTTTGAACCTTTCTTACGTATAATTAAAACGTTGGCCTCTTCGCTAGGCCAACTCTCTGTGGACCCACTCCATCCTGAGTCTGATCTCAACTCCTCCTCTTCCCTGGCTGCTCCCTCTTCACCCCTCCAGCCTCTGTCTCAGCTCCCCCATCAGCAGTCACGCGTTCCCCCGTGCTCCCTCCCACTCCGCTTTGGCCAAGATTCTTCTGCCTCCTGCCCAAAACTTCTCTGTCCTCTCTAACCTGGGGCCATCTGCCTCCCTACCTGCCTGCCCGCGGCTCGCTGGTGCTGTCCCGCCGAGCTCGTGCGAGAGCGATGGGTGCCGTTTGAGAAATCAAACCTCCTTGCTTTCCAAGGCTTTGTTTGGAGTTTGAGAGGAGGGTTTGGGTGGTGAGTTCTGCATCCAGCCGTTGACCACAGGATCTGATTTCAGTGTCATTCCTGGAACAAGGGAAGCCAAGCGTACCCTGAGATGCTTTTTAATCTGAAATGCTGAAAGTAAGCACATACCCAGTGCAGAAGGTAAACAAGTGCCTCATTTCTGAGACCTAATGTTTCTTGCATGGCTTTGCCAGTTGCATCTTTGCTGATTTCTCCGAGCCCGATGCACGATTTCTCTTTCCCGACTGGATTCAGTGGCTCCGTTTCACGCTGTGCAGCAAGCCTCTGAGAGCGAGAGCAAACATCAGCAACGGGCTTTGGCCGACATGCTGGTGCGAAAAGACGTGTTTCATGCAGCAGACACTGTTCTGCCTGTGGATTCCTGTGACATGAGTTCTTGCCTTGTCCTTGCAGATGTCAGCCATAGAAACAATGACGGAGAAACTGGAGAGTTTTGCAGCCATGAAGGCAGACACTGGCGCTTCCCTGCAGCCCCTTCCACACCACCCGTTCAACTTCCGATCTCCGCCCCCCACGCTCTCCGATCCCATCCTGCGCAAGGGCAAGGAGCGTTACACCTGCAGGTAAGGGCCTGGGCGCCCGCAGAAGCGAGGCCGTGCCCCCGGCCGCCCGGCTGGGAAGCCCCTTGAGGCACCAGCGTTGCAGCAGAGCGGCTTGACGTGGCCATCTTGACTGTCTCGGCAGGGCTGGGAGGGAAAACAAGGAGCAGCAGAATTAGAACAGAGCATTCTGATGACTAATTCACTCTGAAATAGCTTGTTTTGTCTGGTAGAAAATCAGCATCTTCTATTTGCTTTGTGATTTTTAATAACCTTGAGAGCAGATCTGGAGATTCTCAAGCAAACAGAATTCTCCAAGCCAAGTCGCTCGTGCGTGGTAGCAAATGCCACGGTTTCCCACCCCAGGGCAATCTCAGCTATGTCCAGTCCCAGCGATGCAAAATAAGGGAATTTATGAAACAGTGTACAGTAAACAACACTTTCAAACACAATTGTATCCACAGAAATACTTACCTATCCACTGCAGCTCTAAAAGCTCATATTGGAGCAGATCACCGGGGAATGGAAACCTGTCTCTGCTTGCCCAGTTTTACCTGTGACCACTGGAGTTCTTGTGGTGGCTCCTGCTGCATTTTTCTTGGGTGCAGTAAGTGGGTACATACGTTGATGTAGCTCACATGTTCTACTTTGCCACAAAAGCTCAAATTTCGGTTGAGTACTTAGAAATCTGAAGGGTTTGCCTGCAATAGGTACTAAACTTAGATTTAGGTACACACTCGCAGGTTAACATTTGGATTTTCATTGTTGATGAGCACTCACATTAACCATTCATCTTCGGGACATCTGAAGGTGCTGAGTGTCTCTGAAATTAAGGAAGTCTACTCGTATGTTCCTTCTGCACCAGTAAGCATCAGGTTTTATAGTCACGGAATGCAACCCTTCAGCCTTAATGTTTTATTTCCCAATTAGTATTTTTATTTATACCTCCCTTCTTTTTGAGTTTACTGTGGATCAGATTTATTGTGGAACACAGTCCCATCTCTTACTTCATTTCCTATTGCTGCATTTCCTGATTCTAAGCAGACTGTCAGACTCACAGCAGTGTATCCCCATAACAGTAACACGGTGCTGCAGCATTCATCTGGAAAAAAATCTGTGAATTCTGAGGCTGATCAAGTAGATTCTGTACAAGCCACTAAAGAGGACTACAAAGGAGATCTACACAAACCTCAAGCAGCAGGCAATAGGAATTAAACACTTTATCCTAATGCAGGAACGAGGTAGTAACGAACGCAGTTACTGATGAGGGGTTCAAACACGGGTTCTTTTACACAACCCACAGTTCAGCAGAGGAGCTCATTGCTGTGGGAGGTTGTGGGTGCCCAAAGCCTGCGTGCATTCAAAAAGCTTTAAGAAAAATGGATGCAAGAAACTTAGCAAAAGGGCATCGAACACAACTGTCCAACCTTAGGCTCAGAAGAGTCCTTCAGGTGGAAGCTGGGAGAACATACTGGGGATGGGTCACTGCGTCCTTACTGCGTTCCTGTGTACTTGCCCAGGCGTCCAAGATAAGCTTCTGAGTCAGCCACCATTTGGGTCTGAACTGGGTGTTCTGAGAGGGTTTTTTCGTTTTCCTGCCCTTCCCAGAGATGCAGCATCACCAGCTGTCGTGCTGTGTCTCTGGTGGAAACGGGTTACACCAGTATCTTGCCACTGAGAATCCCGTTACTCTGGGGCAGGAGTTGCTCTGATAGCTTTTACCTCCACGCTTTCCTCCCTCAGTACGTCGGTGCCTCAACTTACTGGCGCATAAAGGGATTTTCCAGTGCTGGGAGCGGTACGGAACGAGGGAGGTGGCTGGTGATCCAGTGTTGTAAATGCTCCGCAGTGCGGGACTCCGTGCGCTGATGGTTACTTTGGCTTTCACCGTCTAGGTACTGCGGTAAGATCTTCCCACGCTCAGCAAACCTGACAAGGCATCTGCGGACACACACTGGAGAGCAGCCCTACAGGTGATGTTGTCCCCCAGATAAAACCCCTTTCCCCACACGCTCCTCAGTCACCACTGTGTTATTTTTCTCTCTGTTCTATCAAGCTGTGCCAACATAATACCACAGTCCTGTAGCATTACATACGGTGATTCATAGGATTGTATATTATGTGTACCAGCCAAAAATAATCAGGCTTGGCAGCTTGAAGATAGACACTTAGCTTATATTTAGATGTATGCTGGCAAATGAGCGGTCTGATTTGCAGTGTTGTTTAACACTCACATTAACCATTCATCTCAAGGACAGCTGAAGGTGCTGAATGTCTCTGAAAATTGGGCTGTTTGGAAGGGCTTGCCAGTAAGTTAACTGCTGGGTCTAGCTAGGGTTTCTTTTTTCTTTGCCTAATGCGTATCAGAGGTGCCTGGAGTAGTGGATCAAAAACCCAAAAGCAAAGAAAAGCCCCGTAGTGTATCTGCTTTAAAACCTAAGTTAGGGAGCGTCCTGCCGGACATCGCAAAGTTTAAAAAGAGTGATTAGGGCGGGGAAGTTGTTCCGGTTGTTTGGTTGGGTGTTGAGGGTAGAAGGCTGAGCTGCTGTTTTCTGCCAGTTGTGGACAAGGTGATCCGGTTTTCATACCTCAGCGGGCATCGTGTCTGCGCGGAGGGGCACGTGGCAGAACTGCCCTTCCAGCCTGGGCACCCACCGGTGCTGCTTCTCATAAAAGGACTCCTGTTTAGGTTTTAAATGTTTTAAGTTTGGCTAAAACTCGCGGGAAAATGTATGTAAGTGTGTGTGTGTGTGTCTATAGGTATATGAAGGAATATTTCTTATGGAAGACCAAGTGGGAATTTTCCCCCCCCAGTATTTTCTCCTAGTGTTTTGCAGTCAGTTTTGAAAAAAACTTTGGCAAAAAGTATGTTTTGGTTGATTTCTTGTTAGAATAGGTACATACATGAGCAAAACTGAATGAACGATGCATTGAGAGCTCGGTGAAAGTCAAGCGTTGTGTTTTCTATAACGTGAGTCAGTGTTTTGCGCGTTGTCAAACAATAGTCAGAATTCAAACGATTTCATTTTTGGTAGCTAACATTATGCTATTTCCATACTCAGGCATAAGTTCACAACAAAGCTAATGTAATAGTTATTATAGAAAGAGAAGCACAAACAAGTTTATGAGCAGCAAAAGGCCATGTGGTCAAATACATCCAATTTCTGTGCTTCGCTCGGCGTAGGAAGCCGCTCTCTCCTGGTACATACGGAGTCAAATTTTTTTTCCATACGAAGTCATACAGAATTTTGAGTGTAGACATTAGGTAAATCAAAAATTAAAAAAACCCCTCTCCAAAGCAGACATATATTTTGGAACCATTCCCCGTTCTGATTTTTTCAGTTGCGTTATTTGATATGCCTTGAATGAACACTGTGTATTCACTGGGCACCCCTGTCTGACTGAAATGCTTGCTCCCGATTATTCAGAGGTTGTTAGTTCGGTTTTCTTCCAAAAAAGGAGACTTGCAACTTAACAAAGGTTAGGAAAATAAAGATTTATTTGATCTGGTCTTCTCCCAGAAAATGGCCTGTGTGTTTTTTTTGTAATAGAGGTTTGACTTCTGGACAATGTTGCATTATAATAGCACTCCGGAGAGTTAGTGCTACGTTTGCAGAAGAGCTTAATTATCATCGGGTTTCTTTTGCTCTCAGAGCGCTGAGATTTCCAGCTTTTGCAGCAATAATTGTTTCGAAAGCATGTTTTTTAAGTGCTGACTTTATGCAGGTAAATGGAGGTTGCTGACTTTTCAGGTGGTTTACTGATGTCTTTCTTATAGCTTTTCTTTTGATTGTCTGAGTGTTTTTTCTTTTGACTCTGTCAGTGTTACATATTCATCCAAACAGGGGTTAAAATGTTCTTGAAGCTGGCATAAACTGACCAAATGTCTGAGGGTAGATCAAGAAACAGGCAGGCCAGAAAACAAGGCACTTTGGTTTTGATTCCTGGTTGTCATTGCTAAGTGATGTGTTTTTTACTGACTCACTCAGGCTTCCTAGGTGTCTATTTAATTAGATATAAAGTGGAAATTAATAGCACATGAGCAATAAGGAGGCAAATTAATTCTTTTTGTAAGGGAAAGTGCTACATGTTTTTTGAAGGGTAAGAAAAATCCAGTAATGCGCTTCCTAAAAATAACTGCTTTGAAAAGACTCAAAGGCAATACGCTATACGGTGAAATTCGACATGCTGCTTTCCACTCTTCCACACCAAAGCTAAGATTTACTGGTATGTATTTCAAAAGCCAGTGGTAAAAAGGACTCTCAAACGTAAATGTTTCTTCCAGAGAAACTGCAAAATAAGTTGGGCTTGTAAAATCCTTGTCAGACTTACCTGGAAGCTCAGGTTGGGAAAAACAGGACCTTGGTGGTGTTCTGAGCTTACCAAGCAAAATCCAGGGGAGGCAGCATTCAGTGAAGCTCCTTATGTTGGAGCCCATGGCCACAAGGGTGTTTTGTAGTTACGGCTTGGCTTCTTAGTTTTGTTTTCATTCTCTGGAATCACAGAATCATGTAAACTCCATAAAACCTGGACTGGGAACAACTGAAATCTGTTTGGTTCAGCAAGACTTTTGTTTTCTTCTTTCACATGTCCGTTCCCTCCAGGATGCCATCTAATTGATTCTTGAATTACACCCAGTCCTGAAGCATTGCCTGCGAGGCTGTGATTCCTCCTATAAAGATGTGCTTCCTGACGTCTGTTTTGAATTTGTTTTTCTTTAATTTCCTTTTAGGCCTCCGTGCCCTGTTATCTGCATTAAGCTGAAACCAACAACTAAAGCTGACGTCTGCCGTGCCATTTAAGATTGCCCATAGTTCAATAAAAATCTCTTCTTTCTCATTCTCTTTGTTTGTTTTAAAATGCAGTCTAAATTCATCCCTGGTACAAATGCACTTGAGATTAAGGAGTAACTCAGGGGAAGTGTAGCTGTGCCTGTGTTTTATGCTGTATTACTGCAGTTCTGTCTTTGCAGCTCACACTGATCATCAAATAAGTGTAAAATTCTGCCAGTGCTGTCATGCTGTTGCAGCTTTACAAAGCCTACTACCGAATGCCGCACTGTCCCAGCTGAAGTGTTACCAAACTGTTGTAGTCAGGTAGTGGTTAGCTCAGTTACTCGTTCTTAAGGTTACTGGGCTCTGCTGTCTCTTTTTCCGCTTCCAGTTGTCTCGTACCCGGTACCTGAGTTCCCTCAAGCCCGGACGATTGCCTGCCGTTCCTCAGGGCTCCTGAGTTCCAGTGTTGGCTCGTTCTTAGCAATCGTTCACTCCCACTCTATATTTTTTTAGCCCATTGGTGTGTTTCTTTAAACTGATAAGGAAGAAACTTTGCTAGCATTTTGGCAGTGTGTTTACAAAGCAAATACTGCTTATTTTGAGTTTTATTCTTCTCCTGCCTCTCTGTTCACCTCTTCCCTGAATTTAAGCTGGTTCCTCTGTCTGGGTCATTTGTTTAGATTAAAACCAGCAGAGATCCAAGTACCGACCCCTCTGGGACCACAAATAACGCAGTACGTCTCCCTCATCCCTTTCCTCTCAGACATTAGCTGTGGCTCCGTTCGAATGCCCCTCTGTTTCCTATTTTTTTAACAAGCTCTTTATCCTTCCTCCGTACCCTAACCTGGATCCACATAGCTCATGGTTAGAGCAAGGACCTGTCAAAGGGGACTTTTCAAAGGCTTCCTGAACATCTAAATAAATGGGCGCACGGGAGGCCAGGTCGTCCCTGCCTGGCGCACGCCAGCGCTGCCTTTGAAGTCCCGCAACGGCTCGTGTGAGTGATGCGGGCGAGACCCGGCCCGGTACCCGGGCAGCCGCGAGCGCGGCGGCACCCGGCAGCCCCGCACCAGGCGAGCGGGGGGGGAGGAGCGGGTGGCCCGGCGGCGAAAAAAAGGCACCGGCGGAGCCGAGGAGGGGGCTGCTGGTGCGATCCAGGGAGAACCGGGCTGGGCAGAACGGCTCGTGGAAGTCCCGTGGAGTACCAGCGATACTGGGGTATTTTGGGTGGTTTGGAGTGCTGAACAGGAGAAGCTGCCGGCGCCTGGCAGCTCCTGAGAGCAGGTTCGTGGTTGCTAGCAGGCAGGAGGAGGAGAAGAGCTGGAAACCCGGGTGTGTTTAACTCTCCGTGTATAAACTGTGCTTGTTCTTGCTGATGCTCAAGTAACTTCGTGTTTTGTTTAGTTGTTCAATTCGTGTTTTTTGACAAAATGGAAAAGAAAAACTTCTGCAGTCTGAGAAAACTGTGGTTTAAAATGAGGTTTTGCTTTCTTCCTAGGTTAATCATAATGAACGTTCGTTATTTGAAATATCTTTATTCTTTTTGGTGATTTGACAGTAGGAAATTCAGAGGTGGACATGGAATCCATAAACATTCAGCAAGAGAGAGTGTTTCATAAATGTATCTCTGCTATTTCCAAAAATAATACCAATTTATTTTTAGAGACCAAATAAAAATCGCAGCTGTAGCACATCTGGAAACTCTGTGTGTGTTGCACGGCGTAGATTTTTTTACGCTCGCACCTCCTTCCCGCATTCGAACCTGTCGTGTTTGTAGAAAACGGTGCTGTGTCCTCAGTGTCAAGGCAAATCGAGTTTCTTGAGTACTTGAATGACACGGGCACAGGAGAAGTTCTCGGTGCCCTCTTCGCACAACGGACCGCTGCCCTCCCTGAAGCGTGCGCGAATGCCCCGCCGTCCTCGGGCCTTACCAAGCAGTAGCTCGGCTCAGTGGGACAAATTCTGCTCTCAGTTAGAGGAGCACAGAGCTGTTCTGCTAAGGCAGCGTTTTGTTCTGGAATTACCAGGGCTTAGGAACGGGGTTTATTTTGTCCCGTACGTGTCCAGGATTTGCAGAGGTCTGTGGCGGAGAAAAGATTCTCCTTCTCGTGGGTTTTGGAAGTAGAGCCATGAGGAAAGCAGCTTTGTTGAGGTACAAATGACGTATTTAAAGGGAGATCTAATGAGGGATTCAGGCGGATTCAAAGAGGCATTAGGTTTTCTGTAGCTTTAGTACTGAAACTCTTGATGGTGGCTCAAAGCTGCCCTCTTCAGTACATCGGCTGCTGTGCGCGGGGGGAGCCGTAGAGGGCCGAGGCCACAAAGCCCCGCGGTTTAGCACCGCCTTGCTTTTATTTGGAGGGAATCTGAATCTAGAGAGGGGGGTGGCAACTTTGAACAGGCTTCCAACATACCTGCTATGGGGTTTGTATCTACTGCAGGGGTTTGTTTCAAAGAGGGAACATTTCTTCACTCAGCGGTTTCCCTAAGCATTCTGGCTTGGCTCCTGACATTCCACATTTTTTCATCATAAAGCAGATATTCACTACACAGGAGTAAATCTTATCCTGTTTGGAAGCTACAGTGTATTTCTTGGGAGCTATTGTACTATGATAATAACCATAATTACGTGCATCTTGACTACCACAAGGAGTTTCACAAATAAATCTGGAGTTTTCTCTGTGTCCAGATAGCCACGTCATATAGGGATATACTAGCTAATAACTATTTTATACATTTAACCTCCCTTCTTTCTTTTCCTTCTGTCTTCTTTTCCCTCCCTCCCCAACCATATTTTACCTACT